CTAAAATCCCCGTGTTCAAGTTTGTTAATGCAGTTGTAGAAAAGTGAAAAAGGAGAATATAAATGAAAATTATGGGCCTGAATAAAAATGAAATGCTAGCACTGCTGCTGGGATTCAGCTGGTTCTTATTAATCAGGGTTTGGAAAAGAATCAGGATTTATATTCCCTTCTGAATAGCTGGAATAAGATCACTAGTTGGAAAGGTTTACTGGCCCTAAAGATATTGTATTTTTCTGCCTTAACTACTCTTGGCTGTAAGAGGGGATGTAACATCACAGTCTGACTGCCCTCATACTTTCTGTTCCCAGCTGAATTCCAGTTTGATTTTGGTCGTGTTGTGAAGTCTGAAATTCCAGTTCTTTCATTCCTGGTAATTTTGTATTGGAAACCTCGGGGCCAAATATAGCAAGCCAACTATTCCCGAATTTAAATCCATTTGGGAAGGGTGTAGAGGGGAGAAGGGTAAGCCATGCTCCAGCCCCAGGAAGAGCTTTGGACTCACTGTTTTAAGCAGCAGGAGGGAATGAGTCCTGCTGTGTTTGGACAGGGATTGTAGGGAGCAGCAATCCCATCCTGGCTGCAGCTGGCTAGGATGGAGGCATCCAACTTTATATGGATGGATTTATCCCATTTATCCTGCAGTAGTTTTCCTGTCAGTTAGTGCCTGAGATCTTTAGTCACTCCTTGGTGCCTATGAATTAGGATATATGAAACCCTGGAGTCCTATAAAAAAATATATATCCAACTCCAGGGCGATATGGAAAGTTCCAAAGCAATCATCACATGCCAATCATTGATTTTAGGATTTGCTTTCTGGATAATAACATAGGGATGATATACAACCCTGGTACGCTCCTTTAACTTACTCCTAGCCAGGATTTTTATTTCTAGCTCATTTAATTTACCAGCTTTATGCCATTGAGGTTATTGACTTCAGGAAAATCAGATTCACATGCTCCTCCAAGAGCTGTTTTCTGTCATTTATTTTCAGTTTGTCACTAGTTTTGTAAGTGATGTGTTTCCCTTCACTTTACTTAAAGAGATTTTTATCTTGACAGAGACAATTTCTTTATCCTTTATTTAACAACTGCCAGTTTGGTTTTGTTATCTGCAGCAGGATAAAGCTTTGTGCTCTGTCAGGGTGGCTCAGTGCATGTTTAACACTCACCAACAGCCAATCTGTCACAGCAAGGGCTGCATCCTGTCACAAGTCCTTGCTGGTATGGCCACCCTGACCTAAGATCATGGGGTTTTTCCCAAAGGAATCACATTTTACATGACTGTTGATGCCTCTGAATTCCCATGAGCAAGTTCTACAGGCCACAGTATCATGATGCCAAACGCTGTAAAACAAATTTGAGAAGCAAAACAAATAATTATATTCTTAGAAGTTTGGATTTTGTTTTACCACTTAGGAGTTTTAAAATAAGGTTTCGAAAGGTGAGCAGTGCCTGTCCCGTGTCACCAGAGCTGTCACCTCCTGTCAGGAACCTCCAGCTGTGGCTCCAGCTGGATCTCTCCCAGCAGATGGCCTCACTCAGCACCAGATGCTCTGAGGGAATGGGGTGTCAATGAAGGTGATGGGAAAGACACTTTTCATCTCTTTGGATTTCTCTACAGAGACACCAGCAGGTGAAATATTGATGGACTGGTTCAGGATGAAAGAAGGGATGAAATTAGGCCCTTGCAAATAAGCCACTTCCATTACTTATACCCCAATAAATATAGAATAAACATTAAGAAGTGTTGGATTTGGTGCATCCCCACCCTACAGAATCACAGCATGGTTTGGGTTGGAAGGGACCTCAAGGATGATCTGACTGCACCCCCTGCCATGGGCAGGAATATTGGGAATATTCCACTTATCCTGGGCTGCTCCAAGCCTGTCCAGCCTGGCCTTGAGCACCTCCAGGGATGGGTTGAGACTCATGGAGCAATTCCCCCTTGAGCACCCCAAATTCCCAGAGGCTCGGTGGGCTGTGAGCCAGCCCTGTTATTACCTTTGCCTGGGCCTGGGCTGAGTCAGAGCTCTGGAGGCAGATGCTGGGTGCACATCCTGATGACGAGGAGGATCACGGTGACATGATGATGCTCCCTGCTGCAGGGCAGAATTTTTCTCAGTCTACTGCTCTCCCTAGAAATCCTCAAAGGAACATTTCAGTGCTGGAGGCATTTGGAAAAAAGAAAAGAAAAAAAAAAAAAGGAAGTGTATGAGACGCAGGTAGCTTCCAGCTGGCTCTCCAGCAGTCATAAACCTCTTATTTACAGTCTGAGTCACTGCAGATATAATGGAGGAATGAAATGTTGGGTCCATTAGAGATTCCCATTTTCTTGCTCATCAGCTAAGATCAAGGCAAAGCTGTGCCTCTGACACTGCTCTTAGTCATAATGGCTTCAGGATTCCCTTCAAGGCCGCCCAGGGCTCAGAAATCTTTTCCTTGAGTTGCTACAGCTAAATTTTAATTCATACAACTTATATACTGGTGGAAATGTTTCCATGAGAGATGTGCCAGAGGCAGCTTCTCTTTACCAGCAACTCAGCAGCAGCAGCTGCCTCCCTCATTTCTCTCTCACTACCAGAAGCCATGAGAGAAAATTAATTCACTACTTGTTGCTTATTTTGGTGACCTCCACGATCCCACTTGCTGCACTGACAGCCAAGCAGCTCTGTTTATTTTTTACACATCCCTAAAATATGCCAACAACTTCAAGAACGACAGAAAACAACATTCCAAATTGAATAATGCCTTAGATTACAACATTCTATGCTTATGTTTATTGACTGTGTTTATTTTTATTTAGAAAATAATTTACTTGCTGTGCTTGACTGAGACAAATAAGCATTAATTTATCTTTTCTCAGTGTAGGAGCTGCTTTAATGGCATCTGGTCAAGTGCAGTGAGAAGGCTGCACTGACTGCGGTTCTCATTGGAAGCAATTAATTTAGTAAATATATTAAATTTTCAGTCCTAATAACTCTCCAGGCAACATTCCCTGTTTGTCCATTTTTCCTCAGATTCTGTGGGTAACTTTAACAAAAGGGGAATTCCCTAAACATATTTTGTTTGGCACTTTTTGCACGTAGAGATCCTGCAAGGAAAGAGCTTTTCAAGACACAGAACCATTTGCTTTGTGATGTGATCCATTTCTCCACTCTCCAGAATTATGGAATCCCGGAATGTTTTCGGGTGGAAGGAACCTTATAGCTCACCCAGTTTCATCCCTGCCATGGCAGGGACACCTTCCCCTGTCCCAGGGTGCTCCAAGCCCCATCCAACCTGGCCTGGAACATTTCCAGGGATCCAGGGGCAGCCACAGCTGCTCTGGGCACCCCGTGTCAAAACCAGTCTGGGACTCTTTAATTCTACTCGGCATGTGCTGAGACTAAATAAATAAGACTGAAGTGAGTTTTTCTTACCCACAGGTCTGTCATCCTGTGTACAGGTACATCCTGAAGAAAGACTCACTTCACTAGGATATTTTATGAATGTCTGGGAGTGGTAGAACAGAGGAATAGTCTATGGATGCTGAATAACACTGCATCATTTACTGGATTCCACCACAGCCAGGAATCCGGGAAAAAGACAGTAAAAGAACTTTTAAAAAAAAGTCCTGCTGAAAATAAATGCTTTTGTGGTTAAAAACCAGCCAGTTGGAACTGAAACAGTGTTTTCTTAGGGTGGCAGAACAGTTGGAAAAGTTGTTGGATTATTTTTGGCAGTGGCCAGCACATTATAGCTCTATCATTACTGGTACTCAACTCTCCAGAGTTCACTGAAAGGGTTATTACTTCACTAGTGCATTCCTGCAAAAACGCAGCACACTCCATCTGTAGCATGAACCTCTGGATTCTGGAACTCTGTGTGACCTTTCTGACACACTGATAGGAGTGGAAGCAGCTCAGCTCCCAAAGCCTGCAACACCAGGGGCAGCCTGAGCCACAGCCCCAAGCAAGGCAGGGTGCCCAAACCACTGTGCACGTACCAGGGTGACTGCTGTGCCCTGCTCTGATGGAAACAGCCTGGGAAGGTTTCGGCTGCAGGTTTAAACATCAAGGAACTTGTACCTGGGTGCTGTAAGAGCCAAACCCAGTGGCTGCCTTTGCTGACAGCCAGTGCTCCCACTGACAGACTGTGCAGGTGGAAAGTGAGTCCAATTCATATTTTTGCATTAGCAGCTTGTTCTTCCTAGCAAATGCACTTCAGTCTGATGCAGCAGGATTTTTGCAGTGTAGGAGTGCCTTATCCAACCCCTATTTACCTTATACAACCTCTACTTCCCTTATGAAATGAAGCAGATAAGCTATTGAATAATAAGATTAATAAAATACTATTTCTATCCCTTTCAGTGGCATGATTTTACAACCAGAAAATGTGTTTTGCTGAGAAGGTGTCAGTGTGCTGGATTTAATTGGTGAAGAAAAGAATGGTTTTCCTTTAGCTGGGGTCTGTATGATCATTGCCAATGTAGTGATTAACACTGGAGTCATTGCTGCCCTTACAGCAGCAACACAGCAAACACCTAAATATTTGCTTTTATGTGCCTGTGAGTTTTGTATCTTCAATTCTTCTCAAATATCAGCCATAATCAGATAATTGTCTGGCAATCTGTGATTCTCCTCCTGAATTTAACTGTAACCAGATTTGCTTCCCAGAGTAGATGTTGGGGCTGTGAGCCCTGCTTGGTGCCTGGCTGCTGTGCAGTGCCATCAGCTATTGCTGCCCCTGCAAGGTGTCTGAGAGGAGTGGGAAGCAGTGGATCAATAAGCATAATGTAGTAAAGGTGCTGAGTAAAGGCAGCCCTGTCTCACAAATGTGCTGCTCTGCAAAGTCTGGAGCTGCTTTGGACAAGCAGAACAAGTTCCCCTTGATGCTGTGACAGGGAAAAGGCACAGCTCAGAAAGCCATGGGGGTTTGTCCCTGTGCCCCTGCTGCCATGGGGGGATGGCACTGAGAACTCTGATTTGTGGCTGATTACTGACACAAACCCTTCTGCCCTAGTGACCCACAGCACACACAGCTGGCAGGAGCAGCAGGGCCCCATGGCAAGGAGCAGCCCAGCCCGGCTCAGCTCTGGATGAAATAAGGACCTTGCTGGGGGAGCAGTTCTTCGTGCAGTGCACTCACAGGTAAGCCACACTCACTGCCCCAGCAGCCTGGAGCCACCCATGGGCCAGGGTAACTGGCCCAGCACAGAAATGAGGTCAGCACAGTGGTGTAATTTTGGCATCACAATGCCTGTGATAACCTTTGTGTGGTCATCTTATTGCAAAGCTCTCAATCTTCTCAGTGATTTCTCATGGACAGTTCCTCGCAGCACTGACTCCTCCTTCACAGCACAACCAACAAAGTCCAACTCTCTCCTCAACCAGCTAACCCACTCTTTTGTAGCACTCATCTTCTTACTGGACACAGCTGTGGCCTGTTAAGGGCAGCCTGTTCCTAATCTTTGGTGATTAGTACAGCTGCAGCTCCTCAGGCGTGAGATTACCTTCCGCGCTATTTTTATTTTCTTACATTCTATCCCTCCACACCTTTGTGCCCAGGGTTCCCATCTCACACCCACAGACCTCCAGCACTGGAACTGGCAGCTGCACATCTCCTGCAAGTCCAGGTGGCTGCACGAGGTATTCCTTGTGAGCATCTCCAGAAAGTACCATCAGAGGCTCTAATAATTAATCATGGGACAAAGTTTGGAGAGAGAATCATAGAATCCCAAAATGGTTTGATTTGGAAGGGACCTTAAAGCTCGTCCTGCTCCAACCCCCTGCCATGGGCAGGGACACCCCAAACCCCCCAAAATAGCCTGTAAAATACCTCTGTGTGCCAGCAAAAGGGTTCACAACCCTCACAGCCCAAGGCACACCTATTCTTTAATGTTAACTTCTCTTGCCTGGGTTGTCATCAAGTAGAGTTCACTTTTTTAATGTGTCACTTTCTATTCTCCACTAACTCATTAATTGATAAAGAAATTCCATTTTGAATTTTCAGAAAAGTTACCATGTATCTTAAATACATTCTGTCTGTTTGGGCCACACTGCACAGAATGATTTAGCACAAGGAGAGGAAATACAAGGCAATTAAAGAAAAAAGGCAGGCAAGGTCTTTCCGCTTTTGTGCTAATGGCCTTAAATCAAAAATTTCAGCCCAGGCAACACAAAAACCCAGGGAAGGGAGGTAAATGTAGCTGCATTCTAGAGCAGCAAATCTTGTATAGCACAAAACCAGAACCAGCTCTTTGCTGACATTGCAGCATCTCTTTCCTATAGAAGGAAATAATAAAAAAGGGCTTTATGCATAAACACAATACACTGAGGCTGCTATTGGCACGGCGAAATTGTGCCTGGATTTTATTCTGCAAACCTTTTCCATTAACATTTCTGTCGGGAAAGCTGACTCTTGAGAGATGTAATGAGCCATCTGACTTCAGTTTGCTTGTGGAACAAGGGGTTACTCTCTGGAGGGTGCACAGCCAAGCTCTGAGCTACACCCAGCTCTGTTTCCTTATACAGAGGATGACGAGTGCTCCAGCACGAGCAGCACGTGGGAAAGCAGCAACCCTCAGCCTTGCTTTAAACAAATTAAAGGGCCTTTGGAACAGTGAGGATTTGCTCTGTGACAAACATTTGACTCTCCTCGTCATCATTTTGTCCCCAATGCCTCCAGCCCAGCAGTTGTACAGACAAGTGCTCACATGGCTTTTGGCCTTTCTCTTCCTTCCTCCCCTCCAGGGCTCAGCTTCTCCTCCCTCCTCAGTCACTGCTTCACTTGGTGTCTCCTGCTGGTCCCCTGAATGTTTGCTCAGCCCTGCACAAACCTTGCTGTTTATGTCATTTCAGCTCCTGTCTGAGATAAGACACACCAGATCCTGTGGGACATCTTAGGGTTGTTCTGCATTTTCCACAGGATTATGCTCTGGCAGAGCACCCTGCTCGTGTCCTTTAGTGCTGCTTGGGATTCTAATCTGACAAAGCTCCACAGAGGGGGGGAACTGCAACCATAATTGACCCACACCCAGCAAAAACACAGAGAAATTCTGGGAAATCACAGTGGAACTGCAGAGCCTGATTCCTCTGGTACAAAACCCTGTTTGTCCAGTGGCTTTGGGGCTCCCTGCCTGCTGGCCAGCCCCAGCACAGCTCGGGGCCAGCTGAGACATGTCAGGAAAACAAGGCAAAGAGACGGGGAGGAGCCTCACTTGGGTTTTTCTGTTTATACCCTGTCTCTGCTTATTAAGTCTTTACAGAGGAAATACAATGTCTGCCCTTCACTGCAATTCCAGAGCATTTTTGAATGTCTCTCATTCCCAACATGTGGCTGAATTAGTCAGCACATGGTAGTTGCCCAACGAGGTATCGCTGCTGCTGCTCTTCCTGCATGAAATGGGTCTTAGCAGAGGTTTAGACATTTTTCCACACCCAAACAGATGTGCCTGTCCTCTGGATGGAAGGAGGACCAGCACTGGCACTGTATCTGCTATGCAGGGACTTTTGGGGAGCTCTTGCTTGTGGCATTCTGAAAATAAACAGGTGATTCCCTGTCCAGAATTCCCAGTACTTTGGCCACAATGGCTGTAGCTGTGCTGTGTCTAAGCAGATGTAGTTTGGTGTCCACAGTGCTCCCATATTTGCCCTTGAATGTGGAAAAATCCCATCTGCCCTTGTGACACAGATACCTGAGCTCTTTGAGGGAGGAGCCTGGGCTTTATCTGCCCTAACTCAGTGATGTGGTGCGTCCTGAAAGGGCAGCTGGAGAGCTGGCAGCTGCTGGAGGCTGCCTGGCCATGTGGCAGGTGAGTGTGGCTGCTGAGGTGTGATAATGGCACCAGGTATGGGCTTGGTGGCCCTCACCATAGCCCCAAGGACACCTCTGCAGACAAATTTAGGGAATGGACAGCTGTTCTAGCCAAGGGACTGCTTCTGCTTTCACTCCTGTGCAGCCAAGAGATTGGCCCTGGCCAAAAAGGTTGCTGCAAAACTCAGTAGAGATCTGACTCCTGGGAACATGCTGTCACCATATGGTCTCCACATTAATAACACCAAACAAGTGCTTCATAAACAGCGCTCTAACGACAAATACCAGAGGAATTAATAATAATCTAGCTGTTATTTTCTAATGTTCTCGCTTTATTAAGAACACTGATGCTGTCTGAATGAGCTCTTCCGGAAGAACAACATCTGGCACTCACATGAATACCTGATGAAATCCGTATGATCCCGGGTATCTCATAAATTTATGGCCAGAACAGCAGCAGTTTGTGCCCTCCTGCCTCACAGTAACAGTGCCCTTCTCTCTCATTATAGGTTAGAATGTAATGTCCATGATGTTCTACACTCTGACTGCAATAACAGTGTCTTTCTGTCTCATTCTAGGTCAGAATGTAATGCCCATGATGTTCTACACTCTACCGTAACAGTGCCTTTCTCTCCTGTTCTAGGTCAGAATGTAATTCCTGTGCTGTTCTACACTCTGACTGCAATAACAGTGCCCTTCTCTCTTGTTCTAGGTCAGAATGTAACACCCATGATGTTCTACACTCTGCAGTAACAGTGCCCTTCTCTCTTGTTCTAGGTTATAATATAATGCCCATGCTGTTCTATGCTCTGACTGCAGTAACAGTGCCTTTATCTCTCGTTCTAGGTCATAATATAATGCCCATGCTGTTCTACACCCTGCAATAACAGTGCCCTTATCTCCTGTTCTAGGTCAGAATCCTACACCCATGCTGTTCTAGACTCTGCAGTAACAGTGCCCTTCTCTTTTATTCTAGGTTAGAATGTAACACCCATGCTCTTCTGACTGCAGTAACAGTGCCTTTCTGTCTCGTTCTAGGTCAGAACGTAATGCCCATGCTGTTCTACACTCTGACTGTAGCTTTTTTGATCGGCACACAGGCAGCTCCCAAGTCAGAGGACAATGCCCCACTGGAGTTTCCTGCAGAACATTCCCTGCTCAGCACCCGGAGCGACCGACACCGCATTGCCCAGGAGGCTCCGCAGACGTCCCACGGCCACACCGCGCGGAGCCTCGGCAGCAGAGAAGCCCTAAACATCACCGTGGACCCCAAAATCTTTCGGAAGCGGCGTTTCCGCTCTCCCCGGGTGCTGTTCAGCACGGAGCCCCCGCCGCTGGCCGGGCAGGGCCGGAATTTGGGATTTCTCAGCAGCGTGGGGGCTCTCAACAGGACTGCCAGGAGCAGGAGGAGCACGCACCCCGTGCTGCACCGCGGGGAGTTCTCGGTGTGCGACAGCGTCAGCATGTGGGTCGGGGACAAAACCACGGCCACCGACATCAAGGGCAAGGAGGTGACGGTGCTGGGCGAGGTCAACATCAACAACAACGTCTTTAAGCAGTATTTTTTCGAGACCAAGTGCAGGGACCCCAAGCCGGTGTCGGGCGGGTGCCGCGGCATCGACGCCAAGCACTGGAACTCGTACTGCACCACCACCCACACCTTCGTCAAGGCCCTGACCATGGAGGGCAAGCAGGCGGCCTGGAGGTTCATCCGCATCGACACCGCCTGCGTCTGCGTGCTCAGCAGGAAGGCGGCCAGGCCCTGAGCCCGCGCCCTCCGACCCCCCTACCTCAGCCTGTAAATTATTTTAAGTTATAAAGGACTGCATGGTATATTTATAGTTTATACAGTACAGAAAGAACCTCATTATTTATTAAACTCTTTTGGAAACCTTTGGTGTTTTGTAAGTTATTTACTGGCAGAGCTCTTTAAAATGAGGGTTTGTTTTAGTGTCATTCACCTCTACAGCTCTGGGGTGTTGAATGAGCTTTCAGTAAAAAGAAAACATTTTCCACACGGTTTTCACACGTATTGCTCTCTTCTTTCTCTACAAGAAAATTTCCCTGCCAGTTTATTGTAGGTTTATTTTCAATTGAAATTTTTTTGTCCAAATACCAAGAGACCGAAACAGAACTTTCAAAACTTGCTTCCAGTATTACTAATTATCCCTAAAGGTATTAATCATATATAATTAATCATCTTAGTGAAGTCCTGGTAGAAAAACTAATTCTTCATTGTTGCCAGATCAGTTTATAAGTAAGAATTTATAAGTTCTTTATAAGTAAGAATATTAGTGCATATTTTTAAATTGCCTGCTGTTACTTTCATTGCAAAAATAATCCATTCTGAATTACTTTGGAACATTTGTTTACACAAGAACAGAATCTCAAAATATGTACTTTTGTGTTAAAATGGTATTTTACAGCTCATTATTTCAGAACTATATCAGAGTGATGGGATTTCAAATGTCAATATACTTATATAAATTTTAAAAATTCAACTGCCTTATAATCCAAATTTGATAATTTTCTCAAGCCAGTGTTCCAGTAATGGGACCTGCCATAAGAGCAAATCTTTTCATGCATGACAGACTAAAATCCAAAAATAAATAATAAAAAAATCACTGAGGCTGTGTTTTAGCAAGGACCCAAAATAACCCTGTGCTCAAGATTTCTGCATGTCGGGGACATCGACCTCCAGAAATACCCGGCGGAGCCCCAGGCCTGAGCTGGGCGTTTCACTGCTCTCTCCAAAAGCAGCAGATCCTCTCCTTGTTTCCCTTGGAAGAGCAGCTGTTCTCCATTGCAGAAACTGTTTCAAAACAAATACCATCAAGGTTTTTCAGCGTGGTCCCTTCCAAATCCTAGAGGGCACAGCCACCCTCGGCTCCCCTCCTGCACGGTTCTTGCTTTAATGCAAAAAGCAGAGCTGACCTTTGCTTCCTCCACGTAAGCAGCGCAGCAGGGCAGCAAAACCTCCAGAGAAAACGTGCTGGGGTAAAACAGTGCCAGTGGAACTAACCCAGGCCAGGCAAGAGGTGCTTCCTGGTGGGACAGTGCCAGTCTGTGTGACGTGGAGGGCACAGCCACCACCCCTGAGCATCTCTGCTCTGCCAGTTTTCACTCCCCTCCAATAAGTTTTTATGGTGTGGGGCAGCAATGTCCCAGTGAGAAAGTATGGCTCTCTCTAGAACAACATTTTTGCAATATTTTTGTGAATAATCACTTATCTGAAAGGCTGAGGAGGAGGCAGGCTCCTGGCTGTCCTGATCCTCCAAATAACAACTTGTTCTGGAGCAGGGGGAGGCAAGGAAATCACAGAGGTCTCAGGTGCCCTGACCCAGCAGCAGAACCCTGTCACCACCACAGGAGGGATGGAGGGACATCAGTGACACACAGTGTTCCGAGGCAGAGGAAAGCAGGGAATTGGAGCAGGCTGTGCTCCTCAGTGTCCTTAAAGCCAAGGTGACAAATTGCTGTAGAACTGTTTTCTAGACCTGACACAATGGGACTAGAGAAGAATGGAGCTGCTGCTCATTCAGAACTCCTAAGTTTATGGAGACTGAGATTATTTTACCACTGACATAAGAGAACTGCAATTGAAAGTGTCTTCTGAATGCCTTTGGTAATTCCAAACATGTGTAAGACCTGGCATTTCTTCAAAAGCCCTGAAAGTGATGCCTTTGTTCCTCAGGACAGCTGGAAAGGGACTTCTGACAAGGACACTTGGTGATAGTAGGGGGTGGCTTTAAACTGAAGGAGGGCAGATTTAGATGGGATGCTGGGGAGAAATTCCTCCCTGTCAGGGTGCTGAGGCCCTGGCACAGAGCAGCTGTGGCTGCCCCATCCCTGGAAGTGTCCAAGGCCAGGTTGGAGAGGGCTTGGAGCAACCTGAGAGAGTTGAAGGTGTCCCTGCCCATGGCAGGGGTTGGAAGAAAATGATCCTAAAGATTCCTTTCAGTCCAAACCATTCTGGGATTCCATGATAATTAAAGCAATATTGGGAGCTGCCATCCCTAATTAGAGATCACACCAAGAGGCTACACAGCAGAGCAAAGGGGGAAATCTGTTTGTTGATGTCACTTTAGGGAGAGAAGAAAATAACTGCAGGATTTAACTGCTCAGCAAGAACTTCCTGGGTTCTGAGATCTCAGGTGATCAAACCTAACCCACAACTGCAGGAGAAGGGGTGAGGGACAGAAGGGCCAGGTGACACCACAGCTCAACTCACACTGCTGAAACAAAAGCTGCCAAAGCACCCAAATCAGCCTCATCTGCTTTGTTTCTGCTGTATTCAAGGGCTGACAGGACCATCCATACTCAGATAATTTACTTTCACTTGTAAAAGCTGCATTAGAATCTGTATGGTGAGTCAAGACTACAGCTCAGCATAGAGAATGGAGCTGATGGCCTGCTCAGCTTTTTGTGTAAGGTGACAATAACTGAAAAACCTGTGAGGAAGGATCTCTACAGACCCATTTTGTTCAACACTAACTGCTCACTCACAGCTCTGTGCATTTCCCAGCAGTTCCTCTGGTGCCCTCAGCTTTTGGAACAAGTGCTACTCACTGAGTGCTGAATTCTCTTCCCACTGCTTAAGAAAAGAAGTCGACCAGTTTTAATTTTATATATATATATATATATATAAGTATGATAACCAACTGCTTCCCTAAAGATGGAGCATCTTCATTTCTTCTTAAAGCCCTGCTTCTAAATATAAGGACTGAAAACATTTGTGGCTAAGAAAAAATAAAGCTACTTCATCTGAAAGGAGATCAACTATAGAGACTGCTATGAAGCAGTTTGATTGGGAGAATTACATCATTGCTAATTCAACAATCTGAAATTCTCTTTAGAATCTGAGGACAGAAAAGCGAGATCCTTACATTTAAAAAGCAAATCAGATCAATCTGGTTTCACCTTTAGCCAAATGCCACACGGCTGACACCCACAATTTCAGCCCTGCTCAGTGGGTCTGACTAAGGAGTGAAGATTAAATTTTGCCTGGAGGAAAACAGATCAATCTCTGGAGAGATGGATCACAATCAGTTTCCATCAGCCAGCATGGGACTCATCCTCTAATCACTGCTGTAATTAGTTTGGTGGGGCTTTTTTTGAGGGGGGTGTGGGAGGTGGCAACAACCCATCTAAAACCCCACAGGTTACTCAGTCACTCCTGCTGCTGAGGGCATGCCAAGAAATACCAGAAAGCCTGGAATGCCAAAAAACCCATTCCAACCCCTACACCTGCAACCAGGCTGCACTTCATGGGGCCTGGGTGATTATTTTCACTCAGTGCAATACAGACAGGAAATGTTGACACTGACAGAGAAGAGGTGGTTTACATAACAGTCCTGCTTTCTCCCGGTTTCCTTTCACCCCTTACATGACACTGCTGCTCCACTCTCTAATCCCTTGTTCAAACATGTAATTAAGGAGCAGCCACACCCTTGCCAGCTCTTCCTTAGTAAACTACACCTCAGGAGAGCAATTACAACCACTGGGGAATTTACTTGCAGGGTTTGGCATCACTGTGTGTGTGTTTTCACTTTTCTCAGTCAGTTTTCCTGAGGGATTCTGTGCCCTGGAGAAGTCAGTGTCTCTGTGCACTACAAATGTTCTGCTGTGGCATCTCCAGCCTGATGTAAATCACTGACATTCAATCCTGAATCCCTTGGTCAGTAAAACCATCAAGGATTGTACATTGACACTTCAGTATCACCCTGCTTTGGGAAGTGAAAAGGAATCAGCAAAACCTAAGGAACACTGAATGTAGCCCCAGGCAGAACAAAATATGGAAATACCACTGAGCAGCAGTTTAATACATAGAGAAAACACTCCAGCAGAATGCCTGGCACAGGGCTGAAACTAAGAAAATACAGAATTATCCAGCTTCTAATCTGGCCAGGAGATATCATCCATTGGTTTTAGACAGCAGAAGGGAATCCTGGCAGGACAATATCTTGTTAGAAAAATGGATGTTCTTTGGTTTGATTGGTGTTAAAGAAGATCAGATGATCAACTCTTTCCTGTATGCCAAATTTTACAGCAGAACCCAGGCATTGGCCTCAAATTATCAGACAAAATATTCAGTCCTTATCCTCACAGTGATAACTGTTCTGCAATAATTGTCTTTACTTCAACAATCTATTCAGCACTTCCTCAGTGTTCTTTTGAGTTTTCTTTCTTGTCCTTCTGGATTTCAAACACCAAATACTCCCCAGGGAATCAGAAATTCATCGCTTTTGGAGGTTTTCCCTAAACTCTCTGAGACATGAAGAGGAACAGTGAAGCTGCCAAGTTTTGCTGTGCACCTTTGCTGTCTGAATGATGGGGACACTGCAATCTGACAATTAAAGTGGGTGGGATGGAGTAGGAGGTTATTCTGTTATGTTTCTGACAAACTGTTCTGGAGGAAAATTTTTTCTTCCTCTGCACCAAAAGAAAAATAAAACCAATCCAGACCTGCTCATGTCTAAGTCAGTTGTTGGGAAGGATGAAAGTTTGGCAAGAAAGTCTCACAGATATGTGTGCTTAGCAGAAAGGTTTTTAAATGTAGAGTCTGATGAAGGAATAGAGATGGAAGCAAGTTTTGATATAGAAGAAAAGAATTACTGAGCCAGTCTTACTGGATAACCAAAGAGGCAAAGGGTGTGTTAGAAGGGGTTTTTATGGCTTAGAGCAAAGGATAAACCCACCCCAAACAAGATGTTTTTACCAAGCAGAAAGATAGCACAGGCAAACAAGGCAGCAAAGTTGCAAGTAGAAAAAACATCTCAGAATTTTCCA